AGTGAAATAAAGGAAGGGAAGGCTCCATGGACAGACAGAACTGGACCAGGACCAAAGGGCGTGTGAAGGAGTCCAGCTGGCGGTGGGAAGCCCCCCACCCCCCCTTGGTTTATCAAACCAAGATAACTATAATACATTTATGGATTTCAGCAGATTATTTGTTTAACTTGATGAAGAATAAAGACACAGTTCTGGAATTTCGATGTTGATGCTTAGAAGAAAACTAATGAAAACTATGATGGAAAACTATGCATCATCATAAATTAAACGTTTTTCCGCAGCAGAATGTTTTCAGTCAGAGGCCTCCTCAGGGCAGCTGTAACACAGACCTCTACAGGAGATCCTTCAACAGGGAATCTGAATAAACCTGGAACCTGGTTTGACTTTGTTTAATTTAATCTGAAATGACTTGATTAATCTCGATTCTTTCTGCCAGTTTGAAAAACTGCAGAGGCAGTAATAACTGATGCTTTCTGGTTTCAAATAAAACATGTTTTTTATTGTTTACATTTATTTAAATCCACCATGAAACTGTTTTTAAAATGATTGACTTCTACAGACACACAGAGCTTAATAATCTGAGCAATTTTCCTTTCCGACTGTTTATTTCCTCAATTTAAGCCTATCAATCAATTTTGAGATGTTTTTAAAAGCTAAAATGACCCATTAAACAATTACAAGTCACTTGATGTTTCTGTGAAAAAGGAAAAACATAGAAAAGGACAATAGAGCTTGTTTTTATGTGATGTTTATAATCGCTGAGGTCTGCTGAGCCAGATCATTAGCAAGTTATTAAACAGAAACACAGAAAAACACAAAGAAAATTTCAGTTTTTCTTTTAGTTTCTTTGTTAAAATCTTAAAGAAAGTTTTCCGATGACAATCCTGAACTCTGAGGAGACAGGATGAATGGGGGGGTGCAGACAGAGTCACAGAGGGGACAGGAGGGGGGAGGATGGGGAGGGGGGGCAGCAGATGGACTCCCTCAGACAATGGAGGCAGACAGATGCAGCCACAAAGAGCAGAAACCTCAGAAACAGTCCAACGCACAAAAACACTGAGATTAACAACCTGATGTGAATCCTGATTGTGTTCAGACTGAAGCTGGGTTCTAAGTACCAGAACTGAGGTCTGATCGGGTCCAACTTCAGTCCTCTATCGGTACCAGGGTCCAAACAGAACCAGGACCGGTTGGTCCTTCTGATGCTTTAGAGGAAAACAAAGAGTTGGAGTCACATGATGAAAGAAAAGCTTTTATTTGAAGCGATAAAACCTTTGAACCTCCAGTATTTATGGAAGACTGAGGGAAAGTGTTTGGGTTTAATCCAAATGTAAACACCTCAGCTGCCTTGTTTTGTTTCCTGATGGTTCTTTGTAAACCGAACATCTGCAGACGGTCCCGCCTGCGTCTCTGCAGACATTTGAGAACTTCCTGTAGACGCCCAGAGGGACTGCGAGGCGGACAAAGGGACAGCTTTCTGTCGCCGCCCATCTACCCCCCACCCCCTTGGATAGGAGGACAGCCTGAGGCAAAGAGGAAACATCCCAACATGCGTGCAGAGGAGGGGGCCTGCTGCTGGGGTGGGTGGTCTCCACCATGGGAGGGCGGGGCTCTGAGGGAGCGTTTCCTAACTCAGAGCCAATCAGAGAGAAAAGCAAATGTGAGCAGAAGGATCCTTTAATGTGAACAAATCAAATGACAGAGGAGAGAATTTTCCCTAAATAATCCCACAGACGCTCCGCTCCATGAACCCATCCATGCTTTACACGCAGAATCCTCATCAACTTCACATCCATGTAACTATTTTATGTGACCCGCATCTGAATTACATGAATACGTCACATCAATAAGCTACGAAACGCTGCAAAAGTCTGTTAATCAAGGAAACAACCAAAGGATCCTTTCCTAAAACCTGAGGAACCACTGAGGAGCATTAATGGTTCATTTCTGCTCCGGATCAATTTCCCCCAACTCCGCGTTTGCCCTTTGAATCCATCTGGCAGCTTATCTTTATTTGTTTAGCAGGTATGAAGCTCCATTTTTCTGTTTACACTCCAGGTAACTTTAGACCAAATAAAATCAGGACAAACAGGAAGAAAACCTACAGTTTTACTCAATTTCCCGTTCAAATACTTTGAATTTTCTTACTGGAATATCTAAAATTTATAACAGTTTTAGATTTCTACACCTCAATATGAAATTATGATAATTTAAATTTCTTATTTTTAAGAAAAATGTCTCATTTTGGGAATATTAAGTTAAAACTTAACATTAAAACTTTTATAATAAAAACTAGAAGGCACTCAGAGGCAACAGACTAGCGCTACTGAGAACATCAACTTCTTCGCAAAGGTGATAAAAGTTTTTCATTTCTTTTTTCTTAGAAAATGTGGAAAAATTAGCAGCTTTATATTAATTAAAAACTAAATCGTAACAGCCACCAGATTAATGTTTGATCTCTATTGAATCTTAAAAGTAAAAAAATTAATCTTTACATTTCTGCCTAACGAGCAGTTTGAAGTGATTTGAACCCCACCCCTGAGGCTCCGCCCCCACCATTACTGCTCATCTGAAATCACTTTGAATTAGTTCCAAACATCAATACATGGAGTCGATATTTAATTTGCTCATAGCAGGTAGCCATCAGTCGTTTATTCCTAAAACAGGCGCCGTCCTCCACATGAAGAGACCAAACATCATCCAAACAAACACTGGAGGCTTTAATCTATAGCTTGGATATTTGGAAACCTGCTATAATTTGTTTCTATATTTAGTAATTATTAAAAACAGACAAAGTGAAGAGTTGTGCTGCAGACGGGCTAAAATCACTGATCATAATGGATCTTAAACTGATTCCAGGATCGATTTTAAAGCTATTCCACCTTAAAATCATGAAAATCTGATTATATTTTAAACTCAACTAATCGGATATCAAACCATAAACTAATTTCTAAAGAGACAAGTGTTTATAGGATACATATAAACTAACGGAGCCAATATCATTTCTGTTACTTCTGCTCCTTTGATGCATTAGTACCTCCTCAGATTCGCTCACGATCCGTTTTCTTTTCCAGCGTTTCCATCGGTTACTGCTTTATAAAGGCATCGGCTGTGGGCATCCCTGGCTGAGGATTTATCGTTTATATCAGAATTATATCGACTGAAGTAAAAAAAAACAACTATTGTGATAAAAGTTTAAGCCGTATCCTGCCCTACTTACAGGAATGAAAACGGGAGAAAAACAACGAGCACTCAGTCCTTCAGCTAACCCAGGTCGTTGTGACAATTTAAGGTTTTCTTATTAAAGTGTGAATCAGCTAATAATAACCGCTGCAGCAACATCTATAGGAGAGTCAGAGCGAGTCTGACCCTGAAGCTGCTCGGTCAGAGTTGTTTTTGGCACCTGACCAGATCCGTCTGCCTCCACTGATTCAGAGCGAATCTTAAACAATGAACAACCTCCTGAAACTCTCCAGGGTATCATTTAACAGCTCCTCTCTTTGTCACATTATGGTGCTGAGAATTGATCTGCCTGATTGGGTCTAATTATACCTGAGGGAGGAAAACAAAGGAAGGTGCTTTTCGCTCTACGGATGCTGGAGGATCTTGGAACGAGTCGGAGAACCTGCAAACTGCCTGACTTCTTATTAATCCGCCGTTTTCATCTAAACAAACGGCACCAGCGGGATTTTCTGTTTCCTTTCTGAGCAAAGCTCTGCCGATCTTCATTGTTTCTGCCGTTAGACTAAAGCAGCGTTTTTTAATTACCTCCTTAAGTTAACAGCAGCAGTAATGAGCTGATATAAACACGCCGGTTGTAAGCAAAACTATATAATAATTCTACTTTAACCAGCTGAGAAGATAAAATGCATATTTACAGCATCAACCTGTAGAACCGATCCAGCATTAATTACACACGCTGATGCTCTGCAACAATTATCCACCCATCACAGACTTTGTTTTAATGAGGTTTCCCCTCTCCTGCAGAAAGCAACGCAGCCGCAACGCAACGCCGGAATCCACTTCCACCGCCTAATGAATGGCAGTGCTGAAATTAAACTGACGGATAATGAATCCTTTTACTTTTCCTCCCTTTCTTTCACCCTGCAGCCCGACGAGCTGCTCAGCATTCCCCTGCAGTGACCACAGCTGAGAGTCACTGCAGAGAAATGAACCGCAGACCTATCCAAAGGACCATTAAAGAGCCGTTCTATGAAATTATAAAGGTTTAAAGACTGATGGTTGGTCTGAATAATCCTACTATCCAGTGTTCATCCAATCACTGCACTTCAGGATGCAATATATTCCAAAAAAACAGTTTAAATTAGAGATCCAAAGAATTTAAGGCCATTTTTGTGTCCCTTTATTTCCTAACACATCTTTAAGTGTCTTAAAGATCCTCTATAGTCCAGGTAAGGACAGAGACGTACCCTCGTCTTCCTCAGCTGGGCCTTTAAAATATCTGCAGAAGGTTGTTTGACATGAAACGGATTTCAGAGGCGACATGTTTTACCCCCTATAGCTGCCAGTAACCATTACCGTCTCTTATGATGCATGCAGGTAATGAGAGTTTATTAAAGTTGTGAAATTATGGCCATATTCCCCCGTATCATGACCGTTACGCGATTTCTCAGGACTGATCGGATCGTAAATCCTCTGATTCTAAATGATGATCCAATCAGCAGCTAAAACGGTTCGCAGTTTTTCTACTGGGGATTAAAAATACAGAATACAGAGTTTTTTTTTTTTTACCATTAAAGTTTATGGTTATAAAGCAGATTTATACTTCGAAAAATAATTAAATCCCCTCAATGAAAACATGAACCAACATCAGTTTGAACTGATAAGGTCTGAGTAACAAAATCTGGTTCCTAAACGTTACTTAAACGTTTCGTGCAACAATAAATGTGCAAAGTTTCCCTAAATGAGTTGAGAAAATTCTCCCCCCAGACTGAATCCTGGATGGATGTTGATCTAACGGAGAGCAGCCTTCCACCTACCTGACCGTTCTGCAGCTCATTGAGGCCTTTGCACAACGTCTGGTTCTGCAAAAGAAAAAAAAGAAAAGAGAAGCGTTGATTAAATAACAGAGTAAAAAAGCTTCATACGCGCCCGATGAGGACAGAATTACTTTTAGAAATAAATATTCACTCCACAAAACTCGATTTCATTGGTGGAGTTAATCTACACGAGTCAACAGAGGCCAGAGAAGTGAAACGTTTCCATAAATCATTCCTGAATCTGGGGAAAATTGGCTGCACAGCAGCAGTTTGGAGGAGAGAAACGCAATCAAGGAACCAAATGATTTATTTCCTCTTTATTCTGCCTTTCTTCTCATCCACGCTCCTCCCCGCCCTGCGAGCTCTTTAACAAACACAGACACACACCAGAACCTGCGGAGGCAGCTGGGTCGGTCCGGGCCGTCACAGCCGGGTCCGGCTCTATCCGTCATCCGTAATCTAACGGATATACGTAGGAACGTCTGCTGAGCCCAGAAGATAAACAAAAACTTAAACCAGACTTTATTTTTCTGCTGCTGAGCAGGTGGTGGCGACACGCCACGCAGAGCGAGCAGATAGTCGGATAAATCCGTTCAGTATGCATTGCTTTTTACACAAGGGGGGGGGTTCAGAAGCTGGGTGCTGATAGTTTCCACCTCAGCAGTAGGAGCGAGTCGGTGTGTGCCGCCCTGCCTCAGAGGGATTATGGCGCCATCCCACAGCGGCGACGCTCCTGCAGGAGATTCACTCAGAGGTGCATCCATGACCGACGGTGACCTGAGTGAAGTGCCCCCCCACCTTCTTCAAATCAGACAAAATTAGTGTCAAACGTTTGTGCAGCAAAAATTTTCGTTTGTGCCGCTTTCAGTTTAAAGATATAAAGAGATCTTTCTAGAGGTCATCAAAGGTCAACCGGCCCCCCCACTTTCTTCAAATCTTCAAATCCAAAGCAGCACAAACGAACATTTTTGCTGCACAAAGGGAACTGAGTTAATTGACACCTATTTTGTCTAATTTGAAGAAGGTGGGGGGGCTGGTTGAGCTTTGATGACCTCTAGAAATATTTATATCTTTAAAACGATAGCGGCACAAACGAAAATTTTTTGCTGCACAAACCAGCAAAAAAGTAGCACAAACGTTTGACACCAATTTTGTCTAATTTGAAGAAGTTGGTTGACCTTTTGACCTTTACATTTTCATTAATATGTTAAAATCCAAACCAGCACAAACGTTTGAATCTAATTTTGTCTAATTTGAAGAAGGTGGGGGGGCCAACTTCACTCAGGTCCGACAGTGACCTCTCAGCTTTGACAGCGGCAATGGTCTAAGAATCCCATGTCTGAGTAGAAAATCCCTTAACCAATGCTGAAAAATGGATTCAGAGGGAAAGTATTGACTTTTAGTGGAGTTTTGGATCATTTTATTCAACATTATTTCCTCCAATGTATCAGAAGAAGAGCGACCCGATGTCTGCATGTTTACAGGCATCTGCTCAGACGGCTGCTGCTTCTCTGTTATTGTTTGGACAGGAAGGCTTCAGAGAATAGCATCAGGAAGTGTTTGGCTAACTCTGACAGGCAGCATCCTTCAAAGCTGCCACCGGAGAGTCTCATGGGGGGGGGGGGGGGGGGGCATCTACCTCCAAAATCTACTGCAAAATATGTCTTATAACTTGTCTCAGGGAAGATTTCTCTTCATAAATACACCATGGTATATTCTAAAGACTGAATACATTGTTGTCATATATATTTACTCTAGTTACAGTGAAGAACTGTTTGTCGATTTAGGAAAATGCAACAAACAGTTTGTGTCAAATAGATCAGATAAAATAATCTTTAAAACACATTTTTCGAAGTATGACCACAAAGTTCACTGAAAACGGTTATTTTATGCGACAGAATAACAAATTATTACATAATGGTGACGTGGAAGGAAAATAATTAAATAAAATACTTAGAAATCCAACAGAAAAGCTCTGTTGAATTAGAAAGAGATCCTATATGTGCATCAATCATCAAGTCTTTACAGGTTCTCCAGGATTTAGGTCTGGACTTTGACTAGGCATTGAACATTTCCTGCCAATTTGAGCAGGATCAACTTTAACTACTGGACCCCGTAAATATTCACTTTTAAATCTGTTTTTGTTTTTAAGTTTCACCATTTTTCTTTAACATGTTTCCTTATTTTTCTTTTTAACTCGTCACCGGTCCAGAGGAAGCCATCTAAAGCTGCTATCTTCCTAAAAATGTACATTAGGGCGACCAAGAAGATGGCGAGTCCAGACAGGCCAGCCTGAGGAGTAAATTATAACAGTAGCTGAGGTGTTGGAGGTCAGTGGCAGCAAACAACAGGCAGCCGTCTGATGGCTAGAGGAGGTGTGAGGAGGCTGAAGCCTGAGGAGGAGGAAGGAGGCCAGTCCCTGGAGCGCCAGCAGCTGATGGTAGCATGAGGCTGAAACATGTGCCCACATGTCAGTGCTCAATTAGAAGTGTGGCTCGCACATATTCGCAGCTCCAGCAGGAGAAAAGCCACTTAGCTACAGTGAAAATGACTGAGAGCTTCATTCAGCTGACCAGTGGACACAGTCTGCACCATAATTACACCAGGATTTCTAAGGATTAGTCCAATTAAGATTACAGGTCAGACTTTACACAATAATAGAGTTCAATCAAAGAATATTAAAGCAAGAAAAGTTGGTCAACAACTGATAAAACCTCCTAAGGATGCACAGATAAAATCACCAATAGATACCAGATGTTAATATTGCCAATATGGCTGACAACCAATATCTTCTATTTATCTCTGGATTAGGGCGTGACTAATGTTTTTTTATTTATTTTTTGCATTTAATGTATGCATTTTGTCCCACTTCCCTTTTCCTAAGTGGTTACTCCGCTTGTCAGGCCGCCATTGTAAATAAGAACTTGTTCTTAATGACTTAAAAATAAAAGATATAATAAAGGCAGAACAATTTATCCAAAAATAAAAATTGCCATCATTTTCAAATAATATCGATATTTTATTAGGGTTTTTCTTTGCAGCAAGCACAACCATGTTGATGTTTTATTCCAGGGTTTCAGTTTCTTCATGACCTTGAAAGCCTGCTTGTCCAGAGTCCAGAGTTGGAGAACTTTATTGTTAAACTTGCACAAACAAGGTCTTACCTCTATTATAACAGATTAATCTAGGTGATAGCGGCAACTCTGTCTTCCTTTCTGTGCGGCAGCACACCCACTTTAATCATATTACCGCCACCTAAAGGCCTGGAGGGGGAAATTTAGTCTCTTGCTCTTGTTAAATGTATTGTGATTAAAACTGAACGTCTCTGCGATTTAAAAACTGCACTTTCTACATTGTGATTATATTGCAAATGCAATAAATTGCCCAGCCCTACTTTGGATACCATGAAAACCCCAAAGAAGCTTCTCTGCTCCAGTTGAACACCTTAAATCCTGAGCTGGGTCACAGTCGCCGTCACATGACCAAAAAAACACAGATTGAACGAATCCCCGAAACAAAACCGCCAAATAAATGCAAAGTAAACATCAGCCGTTTTCAGGCCACACCACCAACTTCAGCTTCATTTCTCTGACAATTCCTTTTTATTTCTGCTCTGTTTTTATTTTATTTTTTTAAATAAGTCAGAAAAATACTGTTTATTACGTCCCTTTACAGGTTATCCACCTAAATGACTAAATGAGACCAATAACTGGGGACAGATTTGGCAAATATTCAATCAAAATACTTTAACATCAAGTAAATTTATCAAGATGCATTATTATTTCGACAGTTTGAGAACCGATTAAAGGAAAACTTTGATCATATTCAGAATTTAACCTTCTCAAAGTTCTTTAAATATGAAATTATTAAATACGTTTCAATAAATAAGTGTTTTTAATACAGAGTAATTTTCATGTGAATGTGCTTTACTGGAGGCATCCATGTTTGTCAAAGAACACTACTGCCACCTACTGGTTAGTGACGTCACAGTGCGGTATCGGCTGTTGATCAAGTCCCAGTGCTGAATCTGGTGTTTGTCACAACGTGCTATGGGTCTTTTGCAGTCACGTGACCTCGACACAAGGAGGCGCCATGTTGGAGGGTAACCTGCCTAATCGCTGCCTAAATGAAGTTAATTTGAGTTCAAGTATTGACAGTAAAGCGGCAAGACCAGAGACCGGTATTTAGCTAAGCTAACCTCAGTTAGCAATATAGATCCGTATGAGCTAGCAGCTAAAGCATGGACAGCCGATTTCCACTAACTACAAATATGGACATAATTAGTATCTTGTTAATGGTGTTAGTGCATATACACTGGAAGAATTCTAAACTATAAATCTCTAACCCCCAATATGGCGCTAATTACCCACAATGCACAGGGCGTGACGTCACGTGCGAAAGACCCATTATCCAAGTCATCTTGAAAACATTCTTCTTCCAAATGTTGGCTACATATTACGGGTTTTTTCTCTGGCCAGAAGTTATTTTGGATGTCCTCCACACAAAGAGGGATTTACCATTAGGCAATACAAGGCAGTTGCCTAGGGACCCAAGTTCCTGGGGGCCCCATAAAACTCTGTTTACATTCCTCATCTGTGCACATTATATTTTTGATAATCAGAACGCTTAGAATATTAAGTGAGCTTAGTGCTTGGAAAAAATCTTTCATTCCTTTAGAGACAGCATGAAAAGTCAGCTGAGTACAAAACATAGAGAGGAAAACAAGAAGAAAAGGGACAAGAAGAGAGGGACACAACCTAGAACAGAGAATGGATGTCTATTCTATTAACATTTCCCTATCTGGAGAATGGGACTGTTTGATGTGTCGTCTTCTCACTTCAAGTAAACATCAGCCGTTTTCAGGCCAAGTTTTACTTAAAACTGATATGCTTCAAAATGACCAACATTGGTCGATGCAGACAGATAAACGGCTGGGGACGGATTAAGAAATTAGAACTGATTCAAATTTAGGTTTAGAAATGATTCGGTCCGATCTGAAATTTGATTGCTGGTATTAAAAATCCTTTTAGCCGTTATCTGGATTA